CTCCTGGGGCGAACATCGTCGATGGCATGTGGATTTTCAGGGTGAAGCGGCCGCCAGGTTCTCCGCCTATCTTCAAGGCTCGTTACGTTGCTAGAGGCTTCAGTTAGCGTCAGGGGGTCGACTTCTTCCAGACCTTCTCCCCCACCCCGAAGATGACCACTCTTCGGGTTCTGCTGCACGTTGCTGCTCAGCGTGACTACGAGCTTCACTCTCTTGACTTCAGCACAGCGTTCCTGCAGGGCAGCCTGCACGAGGAGATATGGCTGCGCCGCCCACCTGGCTTTACTGGGTCGTTTCCCCCTGGTACCCAGTGGAGTCTCCGCCGGCCAGTCTACGGTCTCCGCCAGGCGCCACGTGAGTGGCACGACACACTGAGGACTACACTTGCGGCTCTTGGGTTCGCGCCGTCTACTGCTGACCCGTCGCTGTTTTTGCGCACCGACACGTCGCTGCCGCCGTTCTACATCCTCGTGTACGTCGACGACTTGGTCTTTGCTACTGCTGACACTGAGGCACTCGCTCGTGTGAAGTCGGAGCTGCAGAAGAGACACACCTGCACTGACCTGGGTGAACTGCGTAGCTACCTTGGCTTGCAGATCACCCGGGACAGAGCTCGCCGCACCATCACCCTGACTCAGTCATACATGGTGCAGCAGGTCCTTCAGCGCTTCGGCTTCCAGTTCTCCTCACCACAGGCCACACCTCTGGCTACCAGCCACTCGCTCTCAGCTCCACCTTCGGACGAGTCCGTAGAGCCGAGTGGCCCGTACCCAGAGCTTGTAGGCTGCCTCATGTACCTGATGACTTGCACGCGACCTGACCTCGCGTACCCTCTTAGCATCCTTGCTCGTTACGTTGCGCCTGGGAGACACAGGCGAGAGCACTGGGAGGCTGCTAAGAGGGTGCTGCGTTACTTGTGCAGTACATCAGGCATGGGGCTGGTGCTTGGAGGACGTGACAGAGTTGTCCTCACTGGTCACTCGGACGCTTCTTGGGTGGACGACCTGGCTACGCAGCGGTCGTCACAGGGTTACACCTTCAGCCTTGGCTCTGGTTCTGTCTCGTGGCGGTCCACTCGCTCTTCCTCTGTTCTCGGCTCTAGTTGTGAGGCTGAGATCTACGCCACAGCCATGGCTGCACAGGAGTTACGCTGGCTCACCTACCTGCTGACTGACTTGGGAGAGCGGCCTAGTTCTCCTCCAGTTCTGTACGGTGACAACAAGGCGGCTCTTGCCTTGTGTCAGGAGCACAGACTGGAGCATAGGACGAAGCACATTGCTCTTCGCTACTTTCTTGCTCGAGAGCTTCAGCAGCGCGGTCAGCTTCGGCTTGTGTACGTGGACTCGAAGGCCAACACTGCTGATATCTTCACCAAGGCGCTCCCGCCTAGTGATCATCAGCGGCACTGTACTTCTTTAGGCCTTGTGTCCACGTTTCCTCACTTGCTCACTGCTTGACATTCTTTGTACTGTACTTTATATATATCTTGTTGCTTGCTTGCTAGGTTTTGATCACTGTGTTGCTTGTCTTGTACTATATCTAGCACTGCATGTGAACTGGCCTTGTGGCCTTTACTTGTGCTCGGAGTGTGGTGACGTTGTGATCCACCCTGGGCTTTGCTTTGCTTTGTTGGACTGGTCTTGTGACCCTTTGTTCTCCCCCACTTTGCCTATGGGGGTGTGTTAAACTCTATTATGCTTGTAGGCTGTAGTGGGGTAGCCAATATGGGGTACAACCCCAACTAGGGTTTCATATTTGTACCCAAACTCCTGCTAGTTCATTCATTCTTGCCTAGTTATCTTGAGAGCATATGCAGGTGCGCTTGGGTTGTGATGCGAGACGAAGGGCTGATGCGGTAAGTCGGCTTCGGGGCAGGTGAAGCACGTTCCTCGAGCTCGCTGAAGTTCTCTGCCGTCGATCAGTAAGAGTGAATCCTTGTCAAGTACTCCAGCTCTTATCGTGTTGTTTAATACTGTGTTGCTTGGGTGTCCCATTCTTGCATGCCAGGTTTCTTCGTTGGCGCGGTGTCCTGGCGAGCGTCGGTATATGTCGGAGTTGGAGTAGAGGCCGGCAGTGATGTTCGCGCTTCTATGAACTTCCCGTGGTGCCGGGTTGAGCTGCTGCGCCGGTGTTGGCGGCGTCTCGTCGATGAAGGGCTGTGCCGTTGAGGGACCGGCGACTGGTGTTGATGTTTCTGCTGCTGCTGCTGTTGTCTGTGCTGCTGTCGATGTTGTTTCTGCTGCTGCCAATGTTGTCTCTACTGCTGCCGATGTTGTCTCTACTGCTGCCGATGTTGTCTCTGCTGCCGATGTTGTCTCTGCTGCTGCCGACTGCTGAATTGTCGCCAGCGCCCTTGTTCTTTCTGTTTCAGGGATGGTGTGTGAGTACCAGAAGCCGCTCGGGCTGAAGTCTGGATCAAGATCTGGAGGATGTGTCCAGTCAGTGAAGTTGACGATGGCGTCGCTGTCGGCCGTTCCGAGATCGGGGACGAAGTCAAGAACGAAGACGTTGTTCTTGAGAACCGCCTTGCCGATGTAGAGACCTCCTCTCCCGTGGTACAGCTTGAATTCCTGGGTTGTGCTGTCTGCTTCAAGGTGAATGCCTTTCGCCATCAGTTGACTGACGCTGAGTAAGTTGTAGCCGAGGCCTTCTGCGATTAAAACCTTGGACATCTGTAGAATGACGTTCGTTTCTCGTGACTGAAGTTGAACAACTCCTTGTCGTCGTGTGCGCAGGTTCTGATTGTTGGCGACGGTGATGACCACCTCTCGTTGAAGCTGGTATTCTCGTTGTACGAAGCGTCCTGAGGAGCACATGTGTTGTCCGCAGCAACTGTCCAAGAACCACGTGTCCTTCCCGGATGGCTCGTTTTGGGCTATGGCAGCGTATGTCGGGTTCGGCTGAAGTGACTCGCGGCGTGGTGTCGTTTCGTCGAATTGCTCTTCTGGTGAGTAGTACGGTGGCGATTCTGTGATGCAAGAATCGTTCAGTATTGCCATGCAGCTAACGATGTTTCTTGCTCCTTGCGCAGGTTGTCCCGTTGGAGTTGTTGAAGATTGGAGCTGGGTCGTTGGATTCGGCTGTGTTGATGCGACTTGATTGCTTGAAGGTCGTAGCTGTCGCTGCGGAGTCGTTGACGGTTGTCGATTCGGGCAGTGTGTGCGCGGGTGTCCTGAAGTCTTGCAGATGTGGCAGAAAGGAGGTACTGGCTTCGGTTGTTGTTGTCGATTGTTGTAATTGTTGTGACGTCGTTGAGTGTGAAACGCGAACTCTGATGTTGTCGTCTTCTTTCTGTGTCGTTCTTCTTGCAGGTCCATGTCCTGCTGCTCAGCGTGGATTTCGGCGCAGAGTGCTGCTTCAGAGATTCTGCCGTGGGCTCGGAGGATAGCTTTGGTGGCGCGCCATTGGGGACCGAGACCACCAATGATGACTGTCACGAAGGCGTCTTCAGAGATTGACCCTCCGCATCGAAGAAGCTTGTCGCGCAGTTCGCGACATCGGCTGATATACGCCATCCCCTTTTCTCCCGGTTTCATTTCAACTGTTGTCAACTGCGCCATTAACCTGCTTTGGTTTACGCTGTCTGTTGCTTGATACAGGCTCTTCAGGTGGCTGTACGCGAGCTCAGCGGAGTTGCCGTAACCCCGGTAAGAGCGTATGTTCTGCTGCTGAGTTGGTGTGACGTTCCTCAGTAGAATCGTATACGCCATCATCGATTGATACGTATACTGCTGCTTCTCATACTGTGTGCCGTTTGCTGGATATTGCAGGGACCCGTCGAAGAAGCCGAGTATCTGCGCGCCTTCCATCATTAACTCAAACTCGAATGACCAGGTGAAGAAGTCCTTTCCGTCGAAGGGCCTTGATGTCTGCAGCTTCAGAACGTGCGCGAACTGCGATTGCACTTGTAACGCGTCCAGTGGTTTATCTTGTCCAGGTGAAGGCTGCGGCATGAAGCTGATCGACCCGCGCTCGTACGGGGCGAAGGTAGGTTGCTGCTGTTGGTTTCCGCGCGCATATGACGACCCGTCAAGGCTCATGGGTGTTGCTCCGTTGTTGTTGCTGTTGTGTGATTGTGCAGGTCCCGACTGCTGGTGCTGCTCGTAGAAGGACATGAAGGAGAAAAACTTCTCCATTATACTCGGGTCGAAGTTCGCGGGGTGATTTGCGGGAGTTTCAGTAGATGTTACTCTTGGTCTTGTTGCCGTGCCTTCCTCTGTCTGCAGGCCAGAGGCAGGAGGTGGAGTAGGAGTAGTGCCTGGGGAGCCGTTAGAGGAGCTCCTTTCCTTGCTTGTTGCCATGTCTTGTAATGATTTGAAGGTAGTAGAGTTTCCCCTGTTTGCTCTCATACCATGTTGGGCTGAGATAGCCCCTTAGGATCTTTCAAGGGAGAACTCTGGATGGATAGTGTTGTAATAGCGGAAGCGTTTAACAAAAGTTTGTGAACCACCTTGCGCTGGTATGTGAGGGCAAAGTAGATTGATTATAGCAAGGAAGTACAAGATTATATAATAATACAAGGAATATGAAAGGATGCAGTTTGTAACTACTTTACTGTTGCTGTTGCGGTTCGATACAGTACGACTCGGGCAACTGCTCTGTAACGAGTCAGCTGTGTGTCCTTAACTGTCGCGCTGTATTTGTCAGGTCAAAGGTCGCTTGACCTTTGACTTTCGCGTAACCTCCAGCAACCTCTTTTAACCTCCGAGGGTTGACTCGCGGGTGCTTCGACATGGCGTGCTTCGCTTCTGGTGTGGTGTTTCGACACGACAGAGGCGTTTACAATTTATTGTTTCCAACAAGGGCTTCCTTATTATACGGTATGCTTGGTGGTGTTCAGTCACTTACACGAAGCAGTACATACACTATCTGAACGGTTCAATTAGTATCATCTCAGTCGATGTCAGCACAAGTACCATAACAGCCCACATAATCAAGATCGCCCCTGCATCATCTACCCCCTTTTGCAAACGCACGACCCAGTTAATTGGGTGGTAATTCTAAACATCCTTTGTGTCTCCCGTTTCAACATCTGTCCTTTCACCTGATTGTGTACGGCTACCATTCTCCACACTCCCAATCCCACCATCAACACTTCGATCCGCAATCATGCCCTTGGGAGCCCCTTCTTCCCTCGCCTCCTCAGCTTCTACCTTACTCGCACCTGCGGCCTCTGGCCCTGACACCTCTTTCCCCTCTGTTGCTTCTACAGCACCCTCCGCTGCACCACTCTCCACAGCAACACCCCCCTTAGTGGCACCCTCTCCAGTAGCACCCTCTCCAGTAGAACCCTCCCCTGTAGCGCCCTCCCCTGTAGCGCCATCCCCTGTGCCACCCACCCCTGCAGCACCCACCACTGGTGCTGCATGCTCATCAGCCACTGGCGCAGCCTCAGCACCTTTACTGGCATCAGCAGGTACACCCCCTGCTACGGCTTCACCAATACTTGTCGCCGCCGTCACAGCCGTACCTGCAACTGAACCATCCTTAATTCCCTCTTGCTCCTCCACCCCTGTTGCACCTTCACCAACCTCCGTGCTTTCTTCACCAACCTTGGAGCCTTCTCTGTCTGTACCAGCTAAATTAGTCTCACCCCCCCTTTGCTTCTCCTTTTCACCTGCTGATTCTTCAGCTGCACTAGCGTCTACCATCTCAGTTTCCTCCCCCTCTGCTGCCGCCGCCGCTGCAGCTGCTGCTTCTCGGGAAGGCTCTGCACCTACTCCCACACCAACAGCATCACCAGCTGCTGCCTTCAGAGCCTCTCCTTGGTCTTCTGTCCTTTCTGTCCCTTCTGTCCCTTCTGCCACTGGCTGAGGCGGCTCAGAGGCCCCATGATCCACATCACTCGGGGGGTGCTGCTCATGCTCCTTCCCTGCCCCACCCGCATCTGCAACTGCCAATCCGTCTGGTTCCTTGCCTTCACTTTCAGGCTTCTCTTGCTGCGCCTCTGCTATCCCTCCCCTCTCCTGCCCCTGCGCAGCCTCAGCTGTCTCAGCCACCCCTTGCCCGCTCCCATTGCTGTCACCCACAGGTTGCTGCTCCTCCCCGCCCACCAAAGGGGCACCCTCATGCCTTCCGCCCTCCTCTGCTGCTCCATCCTTCCCCCCATCCACCTCTCCTATCCCCTCCCCTCCAGCACCAACCACCTCTTCGTCCTTCTGCTGCTCAAGCTTCTGCTCATGCTGCTTGGGCTGTTCCTGCTGCTGCTGCTGCTGCTGCTGCTCCTTCGTCTTCTCCTCCTTTTGCTCCTCCCTTGCTCCCGATTCCTCCTCTTTCTGTTGAGCAAACGGTACTCCATGATCCTCCTGCTCCGCCGCTTGCATCACCTGCACGTTCATCTCACCCCCTCCCTGTGCCACCCCTTCTTGCACCTCCACCACACCAACCACTGCCACTGCCCCTGACTCTGTCTCTGCATTTTCCACCGTCTGACCTAATTCCCCTCCTTGATCTCCCTCCATCCTTGCCCCTCCCTCACCAGCCTGGCCTGATTCTAACCCCTCACTACCCCCTTGGACCCTCATCTCCCCCAGTCCGCCCTCTCCCCCCATCCCGCCCCCCAACCCTGGTTCCTCCCCCCCAGTCAACAGAAGATGCTGTTCATCTGCCAAACCTGGCACCGGACCTACAAATTCAGGCTCGGGCACCTGAACTTGAAGCACAAGCTCAGGCGCAGGTTCGGGTGTAGGCTGTAGTGCAGGATCTGGTACAGGCACGGGCGCAGGCTCAGATACCACGTCTTGAAGGGGCCCTGGAGCAGGTAGGGGTGCAGGCTCGGGTTTACCAGGCAGGTAAGGAGAAGCAACCGAGGTGGATTGAGGCCCAGAGGGAGGGGCAGGGAGGAGAGAAGGATGGTTGGGTTGTAGGGGTTCAAGAGTGGATGAAGGGGGAGGAAGAGAAGAGGCAGGGGCAGTTGAAGGCTCGTGAGGTGGTGGTGGTGCATGAGCGGTACTGGGCGGTACGGAGGTGAGCTGATACTTGTGCATTGGGTTATATGATGCCGGTGGGAAGGATGCTCCTTCTGCAGATGGATCTACACCTGACTCTTGAAGCTGGTTTGGTGGGAAATACACGGACCGAATGACAGGAACAGGTCACAAAGGATTGGAGACGTCAGGACGGGGGGGGCGTGAGAGCACAAGGTGGGACGAGGCAAGGAAATACGCAAAGCAGCACGAAGGAAGAGAGATGGTGCCGGTGAGACCAAGCAAAGGATTGTGGACTGCGGAAGAGAAAGAAGGAAATGACAGTGGACACGGAAGCGAGGAGGGCTGTGCAACTGACCATGGTTCGGAGCTGGGCGTTCTGAGCGCACAGGGAGGCGTACTGCTCTCTCAGCTTTGCTAGCTCCTGTCAGCAGAGAATTGGGCAAAGTGAAATGGTAAAGGATCTAAAGGATAAGAAAAAAATGGAAATTAAAAAAAAAAAAAAAAAAAAAAAAAAAAGAGGCGGGAAGAGAAGAGAAAAGTGGGGAGAGGAAAGGAGCAAGACGGAAGCGTGGAAGAGAGAAAGGGGGAGATGTAAGGGAAGACATACCGCATTGAGACCCATGTTTTCCATCTGCACAGCGGTCTGCCTTGCTATCAGCTCGTCACACTCTGCCTGCTTCCTCAGCCGCGACCGCCTTGCGCTCTCCCTGTTGCTCTGCTTCCGCCTCTGCCTCTTCACCTCCCTCTCGTCCTGCGAACCACCAAGTAGAGAAGCACACATTAGCAGGAACACACATGGAGAGTAAAACACAAGCATTGCACCAACCGCACGCGCAACAGGAGGAATCACAACGAGCGAGCGAAAATGAACAAGGAGGAAAAAACAGGGTTGAGGGTGAATTCTCACCCCGCGAAACGGCACCTGGTAGATCAGACTCCCTCCCACGTCGCCCGCATCCCCGCCTGCCCTCGCCCCTACCGCACGCGCCCCCAGCTTCCCCCCAACACCCTGCCCCAAGGAGGCAGGGGGCGGCACAGCAGCAGGAGCAGCAGCACCAGTCCACATATCCGCAGGAGATGCACCCATGGGGTTATAAGTCATTCCGCCAGCCACCCCCCCTCTCGCCCCCGCAGCAGCAGCATGACCACCCCCACCACCGGCACCAGCACCACCGCCTAGACCAGCAGCAGCAGCTGCAGCTGCGGCCGAAGCAGGCGGGCCTTCCGACGGGCTTGAAGGCATGGATGTGTACTCTCCCGCCGAGCCTGACGCCAGGGCCAAGGCTTGGCCCGAGCCTGGAGCCGCCTGCGCATGCGAATGGGCAAGGCTTGTTCCCCCAGTGGTAGCAAGAGCGCCATCTTGACCATGTGACTGCTGAGACGACCGTTTGCGCTTAGAAGGGGCAGCTTGGGCAGCAGGCGCAGCAGGAGTAGCTGCAGCTGCTGGAGGGGCAGGCCCGGCAGCAGCAGCCCCGCCGGCAGCACTGGCAGCGGCGGCGGCGGCGGCAGCAGCAGCCATGGCATCGTGGGAGTAGTCCATTGGCATGCCGGGGTAGGCCTGTGCTGCTGGCATGGCCATGGGGCCCATGGGGGTCATCCCCATCATTGCTGCTGCTGCTGGCACCTCAGAGCCGTCCGCCTGGAGATCGGAGGAAAAAGGAGGAGAGGAGAAAGAAGAACAGTCAAATTGGGTTAGATTGAACGCCATAACGCAAGATGCTGAAGCAGAAACAGTAGCAGGAGCGGAAGAAAAGGCAACAGCAGCAGCAGGAAGGGCAGGCATGCTCGTTACTACAGCGGAAGAGAGCTTACCGATTGTGGAGGAGGGTAGCCGTAAGGGGATGGGGCAACTGCCCCTGCAGCGCCTTGGGGCATGCCTGGGTGAGGTGCGGCATACATGGCCGCATAGCCGTAGGGGCCTGGTGGTACACCACCGTAGTGCGCTGCCATCATTGGCTGAGACGGAGAGGGGACCAGGACAAAGGGGAAATAAAACAACAACGGTTAAGTAAAAGAGTGAGAGGTATGCGGGAACAAGAAACAAAGGGACAAGTAACAGGCGTTCCCACAATTACCTCTTACGCCAATTACATAAACGAGAGGGCACCTGCACAACTGAGTAAAATCCAATGCTCCACAAGTCCCGTACCTGTGGTCCCCACATGTACGGATGGGGATGCCCTCCCATTGGTGCGCCGTAATAACCCCCCGCATGCGCCGCTTGCCCTCCGGACTTGTAGTACGCCTGCATGCCACCATTGCACGGCACAGAAATAGAGTTTACGTGGCCGTTTTGTAAACGATAAGAACTAGTAGATTGAACGTTTCCGACTGCACCCAGTTCATTCAGAAGACAACCTAAGGAGCAACGCTGGACGCGCGGGAAAACGAAGGCTACTGGCGTCGTGAGAAGCTGATAGAAAAGATGGGCTTGTTGCAAGATGGCTGCAAGGACCGACGAAAGAGTGGGGATCGTCGCCATCAGTCGGGATCAGAGCTTTCTAGATCAAGATCTGCTGACTGAGTTGAGATCCGCTGACTGAGTCAAGATCTGCTGTCTGTATTAAGATTTGCAGACTGGGTTAAGTACTGATGACTGGGTTGAGATCTGCTGACTGACTGCTGACAGGGTTGGTCGGCTGACTGTGCGAGACTACTGAATGCGATGTGTCCTGCTGACAGGGTGGACGCCCGCTGACTGGTTCTGAGTGGAACTGAAACGATAGCGCACTGCCTCGAGGGCGTTGAACTGCGCTGATCGCTCGGGTTACGCTAATCGCTCAAGCTGTCGAAGCTATCGTGGGTGGCTAACAGCTTATTCTGTACCGTTCGTAGGACGACCAGAAACGTGCCAGGTGTCGCGACATACTGAGCTTCGAGGTTAAGCGTGCTCACCTGCATAGCAGCTGCAGCCCAATCGTTATACCCGTTAGAGGGGTCCTTTGACACGTCACCTGCGGATGATAACGAAAGAATAAACGTGAAAGCTAAGGAACTCTTAACGAATGAAGCTACCAAGTGAAATATCAAAACCGTGCCGCATCTAGAATACTAAAATCCGAGAAAAGCACGACAAAACTCGACGGAGGCCGTTCAGAAAACGAGACCAAGGCCTACGGCAAAGGAATGCTCGTGCGAAATAATAACATATGCTCGCCGTTAGGCGCGCGGTACATGCCTTGTTGAGCTTGCTCTTCCGCCATTGCCTGGGCAGGCTACGTCCTATCTCAACTTTGTCGAAAGGAAGAAACAGTCTTATCGTCTCTTTGTCTTAACTACAACCGACACAACACCTAATCTTGCTTTAGCAAACTGACAACTTCCTTAGTCACTAACAAGCGTCATGTCGACCACCAAGTTCGGTCGGCAGCATCCATAGCTCAAGCCCGACGCAGCAAGTTTTCTAAATGTTCTTTCAAATGCTTTGCTTCGCAGGCGACACGGTAGCGCGGTGTGGGAATGCAAGCAAAGCAGGCAGGTAGGTCAGGGAAGCAAGACTCAGTAAAAAACTGCCATATCATCCTAGGTACTGGGAAGGACTGAAGGGAAAAGCGTGCACAGGTGGAGAGGGAGGGAGGACATGGCAGGCAGGGAGCGGCCATAGTTTGGATCCAGAAACCCTCGTCTGCTCCGACCTTCTACACGCTGGCCTTGGGACTGACATGGAAGTGCTGGGCTGGAAACCTTCGTTTGATCGGACGGCATCGAGTGAGTAACGCCGCTATCGACAGCTGTAAACGAGTACATAAAATCCACGCAGGCAAAGAGAGTAGTTGGGGTTTCGGCGGTGGTTCTGCCACGTTCAGGCTGGTAATGTTGCGCACCCCACTTACGTGGCAGGGAACCAGTTCGGTTTGGGAAGAGGCTCGTTTGTCGTGCATCATTGCCTTCACGAAACAAAAGAAGTTACCGGTAACCGGTTGTTTCGATACAGATATGATGTTTGCGCGCCACCCAGGTTCGCTAGGACTCCTCTTGCAAACGAGATTCGCATTAGGGGCAACAGAGTGTATACCCTTCTTGATTCCTCGGAAGGCAAGGTGTTCGCCAAATCCAAGCAGGAACTTCGTTCGGAGTGTTACACACCATTTGTTCGTCGCACGGATGTGTCGCTCTGCAAAGCTCCCTGTCACGCCGACAATACTTCATTCGCAGAGATGGAGTTGCGATGGTGCCCTGCAAAAACCTCAGGCCCACTGCTGCATTTTGTCGCTGGGAGGGCATGCTGACACGCGGTGCCACGAAACACGGGCTCAGGTGCGGCAGTCTGGCATACGGAACAATCCCAACTTTTCTCTGCTCTGCTCCTTTTAGGACGTGTCACCTATGTTTGTGGGGATTTTCAGCTGAGGTCCCATCCCAACCTACCCCATTCCCTCTTCAGATATTGGAGGGAGCACCTTCAGAACGCACACTTTCACGAGTTCATGTCCTTGCGGAAGCTTGAGATGTTTGTGTCCCAGTTGAGCCACACGCAATCTGCGGCACTACCATACTACAGTGACAGCCAGCGTCAAACGCCGTCATGACGCACCGCAATGCGATGCGACGACGAATGTTGATATTCTTGTGCGGATCTTCCTTGTGTCTGCTCACCGCGGTAGGCTAAATTGTCAGAACAGCTACATCAAAAAGGACGTTCAAGGACATCACACCGGGTTAGCCAGTTGAGGCACGATGACAGAGGCGGGAGCAAGAATCATAAGAAAACTATCATCAAGCAACATTCTGTCATTGTTGTCATTGTCGATCTCAGCTATATTTTCTCTCGAAGGCAGACATCCTCCATTCCGCTAGCTTTTCTCTTGGACATCTCGTCATGCTCGCCTTTTCCCAATGGGTCACGGCTGCTGCGGACGCTGCAGCGGCGAATGCAATTTTCTCCGAGGAGCAGAGGTTGACGCTCACCCTCGCTCACGGGCCGTACTTCAATTTCACCAAACTCCCGCTTTCAGAAATCATGAAAAGAGTGCGCTGTCTCGAGGCCTTCAAGCAACATCTGGAGCAGATGGGCTTTCGCGTTTTGTTGAGAAAATCTGCAAGCGTGGGAGAGGTGGAGATTTCGTACGGACCTTATCCGCTATTCTTCTTGAATAGCCCAGAGCAAATGGAGCAGCTTATTCTTGCTATGGTGCAAGAGGAGCTTCAACAAGAAAGCACTGTCGTAGATCCGCGGTGGTCCAGATTAGGAAAAACCGTGCTGGCTTTCTATTATGAGTGCTACTGCTGCAATCCACGGACTCAATGACTGGAGGGTATCACTAAATGCTTCCTTCTTGTATGGTCTGCAGACTTTGCGTGAAGGGCTGAGAAGCAACCTCTGCACCTCAGTGGCTTGGGTATGGTGAAATACCTACAGAATCCAGATGGTTGGATGGTGGTTGTTATGGGCAGGTAATTGAGCAGGCAAGGATGCATTGTCTGGTACAGTACATTCTCTGAGCTTGTGTGTACAGATCATTATGCAATGAAGTCCAGTATGGTGTGCTCATTACACTCCTCCATTTGCTCCATCAGCAGCCCGTTCAGCATCATGATTTCTGGCCCCATATCATTTTACATGATCCTTATTTTTTTAGCTCTTTGGATTCAAACTTGTCCACTAGAGCTTGCAGACGTCCATATTCTAGACCATTAAGAGGAACACTGAAATCTGATCTGTACGCGACTGTAGCAGCGTCAAATGCGCTCTGCACAATACAAGATAGGAATGAAATGGGAGGTTGGTTGATTGTTGGGTCTTGAAAAGCAGCTTCAATCAGACAAATGCACAATCATAGCTCACCTTGGAATGCCTTGAAATGCAGCTTCAATCGGACAAATGCACAATCCTTCTTACTCACCTTATCATACAGCTCGAGAAGCCGAGCTGAAGCATTGGTTGGGTGCGCCCAATGGGCATCATGGAAGGGATTTTCCTCCTCCTTTCCAAAATGCCGCATCACCTTTGCCACATCCTCCTCTAGATTCTCAAAGCGCCCGATAAATTCATATCGGATCGCATTCAACTGGCATAGGTCGATCTGAGCATTGGGACAGAAAGAGGGAAGGGATTGATAGGGCTTGCAGCCAATCAGAGCACAGAGAGTGACCACATGGCAGAAGACAGAGAACGACAAATATACACGGTTAAAGATCTTTGGAAACAAGGCAGAGAAAGGGAGGGATGGGAAGGGAAGGGGAAGGGAGGGGAAGGGTGGGGGAAAGTACCTGTGGGCGGACATGGGGGTCCATGCACTCTACACAGCGTGTGGCTCGTCTCTGGAGGAACGACATGAAGGTTGAGAAGGGGATGAAGTCACTGCCGTTCTGGCTCCTCATGAACGCCTCATATCCCCGAATCCCCAAAAGGAAGCGCTGCAGTGAGGGAGAGAGGCAGGGGAAGGGAGGAGTGGGGTTAAATGGAATGCAGAGTGGAGATGTCATGGACAGCGGGGGAAAGAGTGGAGATGGAGGGAATTCTCACCTCGTTTCAATACTCGCGGCCGTGCAGGTATCCCCCAACCACATGCTTTGTCAAATGTGCCCTTGTGACTCTATCCTTGTGAACGGGTTTGAATGTTTGGTCAACTCATGCGGCAGGGTTAACTCTCACCTCGTTCCAGTACTTGCGGCCGTGCAGGCCTCCCCCATTCACGTGCTTGTTCAAATACGCCGACGCAATCCTCGTAAACGGGTTGCGCACAAACGAGAACTTGAACAAATCCGGTCGCGTGAGGAGGCGGATGTTGTCGTGCTCCTCAAACCCGTACCCCATGATGCTCAGCCCGCTCTGCACTGGGCAGTGCACCGACGTGCGTGCGAACCGCTGCGCGCTGGTCAACTTGCAGCCGCCCAGCCGCTGAGACAGCTGCTGCTGGAACCACACCTTCCAACTCGTGTAGGCCACCTTTGGCACCGAGCAGTACACTGTCTTGAGGTGCTCTGGTGGTGCGTGGGGGAGGAAGAGGAGGGATAAGAGCGGTTGAGGGTTTGGGATAAGAGGTCACGGGCACACCGTGAGGCCCGATGCTGCTGGCGGAACCACACCTTCCAGCTCGTGCAGGCCACCTTTGGCACCGAGCAGTACACTGTCTTGAGGTGCTCTGGTGGTGCGTGGGGGAGGAAGAAGAGGGGTGTTAAGAGTTGCTTAGGTTTCGAGTCACAGGCACACATTGGCGGCCCCATGCTCACCTTCCAGCTACAGCAAAGCAATTGGGTAGCAAAGCAGCCGCACCAGTCTCAGCGCATAGCAGCGCCTAGGGGCAACGGTGCCACCACCAGCAATTCACATGTCTGCAAGTCCGCATGGAGGTCTTTCTGTCTATGTCAAATAGAGTCCCTTCTAATAATGTAGGAGCTGTCCCTGCACTCTATGTCAGAGGAAAATAGAGTCCAAAGCGGCTCACCATCCACGAGCATCTGCTGCAGGTACTTCTGGTTGACAAACCCAGCCGCACGGGGGCAGCGCACACACTCTCCTCCACCGCAAACGCAGCTGCCGGGGGGACTGCAGCTACAAGCGCGGCAGATGCCTCTCCTGAGGCTTCTACAACATCCCCCCCCACACTGCTGCTCTGAGTCGCCGGGTACCGTCTCCCCTGCGCGGCAATGAAGAGCGCCTCAATGGAGGGCAGCGAGTGGATGAGCCCTCGAGCCGACGACAGCAGCAGCAGCTCCGCCAGCTGGTGGTGTGGGATGTGAGGCGATTGAGGGAAGGGATGCAGAGACCAAAAGGTGAAAGAAGGCGGTGAGAGGAGGCTGTGAGAGAAGGCGCAGCAGCAGCACTCCACCAGCTGGTGGTGTGGGATGTGAGGCGATTGAGGGAAGGGATGCAGAGACCAAAAGGTGAAAGAAGGCGGTGAGAGGAGGCTGTGAGAGAAGGCGCAGCAGCAGCACTCCACCAGCTGGTGGTGTGGGATGTGAGGCGATTGAGGGAAGGGATGCAGAGACCAAAAGGTGAAAGAAGGCGGTGAGAGGAGGCTGTGAGAGAAGGCGCAGCAGCAGCACTCCACCAGCTGGTGGTGTGGGATGTGAGGCGATTGAGGGAAGGGATGCAGAGACCAAAAGGTGAAAGAAGGCGGTGAGAGGAGGCTGTGAGAGAAGGCGCAGCAGCAGCACTCCACCAGCTGGTGGTGTGGGATGTGAGGCGATTGAGGGAAGGGATGCAGAGACCAAAAGGTGAAAGAAGGCGGTGAGAGGAGGCTGTGAGAGAAGGCGCAGCAGCAGCACTCCACCAGCTGGTGGTGTGGGATGTGAGGCGATTGAGGGAAGGGATGCAGAGACCAAAAGGTGAAAGAAGGCGGTGGGAGGAGGCTGTGAGAGAAGGCGCAGCAGCAGCACTCCACCAGCTGGTGGTGTGGATGTGAGGCGATTGAGGGAAGGGATGCAGAGACCAAAAGGTGAAAGAAGGGGGTGAGAGGAGGCTGTGAGAGAAGGCGCAGCAGCAGCACTCCACCAGCTGGTGGTGTGGGATGTGAGGCGATTGAGGGAAGGGATGCAGAGACCAAAAGGTGAAAGAAGGCGGTGAGAGGAGGCTGTGAGAGAAGGCGCAGCAGCAGCACTCCACCAGCTGGTGGTGTGGGATGTGAGGCGATTGAGGGAAGGGATGCAGAGACCAAAAGGTGAAAGAAGGCGGTGAGAGGAGGCTGTGAGAGAAGGCGCAGCAGCAGCACTCCACCAGCTGGTGGTGTGGGATGTGAGGCGATTGAGGGAAGGGATGCAGAGACCAAAAGGTGAAAGAAGGCGGTGAGAGGAGGCTGTGAGAGAAGGCGCAGCAGCAGCACTCCACCAGCTGGTGGTGTGGGATGTGAGGCGATTGAGGGAAGGGGGTGCAGAGGAGAACAGGCGAGAGGAAACGGACAGAGAAGGTGGAGAGATGGTGAAGAGAAGGTGAGAGAAGGCAGATGGAGAAGGCAGAGATGGTGGTGGATGGTGGGATGCCAAGAGGACATGACAGGAAGGCTAGAATGGATGCATACATGCAACCTAAGCCTCCCATGTGATGGGCGGAGGTGTGGAGGTGTGGAGGTGTGGAGGGTGGAGGTGTGGAAGGGTGGAGGGGTGGAGGGGTGGATGGGTGGAGCGGTGGAGGGGTGGATGGATGGATGGGTGGAGGGGTGGATGGGTGGATGGGTTGATGGGTGGAGGTGTGGAGGGGTGGAGGTGTGGATGGGTGGAGGGTTGGTGGGGTGGGAGGTGGAGGGGTGGAGGGGTGGATGGGTGGATGGGTGGATGGGTGGATGGGTGGATGGGTGGATGGGTGGATGGGTGGATGGGTGGATGGGTGGAGGTGTGATGGGCGGAGGGGTGGTGAGGTGGAGGGGTGGTGGGGTGGAGGGGTGGAGGGGTGGATGGGTTGATGGGTGGAGGTGTGGAGGGGTGGAGGTGTGGATGGGTGGAGGGGTGGTGGGGTTGGGGGTGGAGGGGTGGAGGCGCCTATTAGAGGAGTGGCGCCTATTAGAGGAGTGGCGCCTATATAAGAGGAGTGGCGCCTATGAGAGGAGTGGCGCCTATTAGAGGAGTGGCGCCTATTAGAGGAGTGGCGCCTATTAGAGGAGTGGCGCCTATTAGAGGAGTGGCGCCTATTAGAGGAGTGGCGCCTATTAGAGGAGTGGCGCCTATTAGAGGAGTAACGCCTATGAGAGGAGTGGCGCCCATTAGAGGAGTGGCGCCTATTAGAGGAGTGGCGCCTATTAGAGGAGTGGCGCCTATTAGAGGAGTGGCGCCTATTAGAGGAGTGGCGCCTATTAGAGGAGTGGCGCCTATTAGAGGAGTGGCGCCTATTAGAGGAGTGGCGCCTATTAGAGGAGTGGCGCCTATTAGAGGAGTGGCGCCTATTAGAGGAGTGGCGCTTATGAGAGGAGTGGCGCCTATGAGAGGATTGGCGCCTATTAGAGGAGTGGCGCCTATTAGAGGAGTGGCGCCTATTAGAGGAGTGGCGCCTATTAGAGGAGTGGCACCCATAAGAGGAGTGGCGCCTATTAGAGGAGTGGCGCCTATTAGAGGAGTGGCGCCTATTAGAGGAGTGGCGCCTATTAGAGGAGTGGCGCCTATTAGAGGAGTGGCGCCTATTAGAGGAGTGGCGCCTATTAGAGGAGTGGCGCCAATGAGAGGAGTGGCGCCCATTAGAGGAGTGGCGCCTATAAGAGGAGTGGCGCCTATTAGAGGAGTGGCGCCTATTAGAGGAGTGGCGCCTATTAGAGGAGTGGCGCCTATTAGAGGAGTGGAGCCTATAAGACGAGTGGCGCCTATTAGAGGAGTGGCGCCTATTAGAGGAGTGGCGCCTATTAGAGGAGTGGCGCCTATTAGAGGAGTGGCGCCTATTAGAGGAGTGGCGCCTATTAGAGGAGTGGCGCCTATTAGAGGAGTGGCGCCTATTAGAGGAGTGGCGCCTATTAGAGGAGTGGCGCCTATTAGAGGAGTGGCGCCTATTAGAGGAGTGGCGCCTATTAGAGGAGTGGCGCCTATTAGAGGAGTGGCGCCTATTAGAGGAGTGGCGCCTATTAGAGGAGTGGCGCCTATTAGAGGAGTGGCGCCTATTAGAGGAGTGGCGCCTATTAGAGGAGTGGCGCCTATTAGAGGAGTGGCGCCTATTAGAGGAGTGGCGCCTATTAGAGGAGTGGCGCCTATTAGAGGAGTGGCGCCTATTAGAGGAGTGGCGCCTATTAGAGGAGTGGCGCCTATTAGAGGAGTGGCGCCTATGAGAGTAGTGGCGCCTATTAGAGGAGTGGCGCCTATTAGAGGAGTGGCGCCTATTAGAGGAGTGGCGCCTATTAGAGGAGTGGCGCCTATTAGAGGAGTGGCGCCTATTAGAGGAGTGGCGCCTCTAAGAGGAGTGGCGCCTATTAGAGGAGTGGCGCCTATTAGAGGAGTGGCGCACATTAGAGGAGTGGCGCCTATTAGAGGAGTGGCGCCTATTAGAGGAGTGGCGCCTATTAGAGGAGTGGCGCCTATTAGAGGAGTGGCGCCTATTAGAGGAGTGGCGCCTATTAGAGGAGTGGCGCCTATTAGAGGAGTGGCGCCTATTAGAGGAGTGGCGCCTATTAGAGGAGTGGCGCCTATTAGAGGAGTGGCGCCTATATAAGAGGAGTGGCGCCTATTAGAGGAGTGGCGCCTATTAGAGGAGTGGCGCCTATTAGAGGAGTGGCGCCTATTAGAGGAGTGGCGCCTATTAGAGGAGTGGCGCCTATTAGAGGAGTGGCGCCTATTAGAGGAGTGGCGCCTATTAGAGGAGTGGCGCCTATTAGAGGAGTGGCGCCTATTAGAGGAGTGGCGCCTATTAGAGGAGTGGCGCCTATTAGAGGAGTGGCGCCTATAAGATGAGTGACGCCTATTAGAGGAGTGGCGCCTATTAGAGGAGTGGCGCCTATTAGAGGAGTGGCGCCTATTAGAGGAGTGGCGCCTATTAGAGGAGTGGCGCCTATTAGAGGAGTGGCGCCTATTAGAGGAGTGGCGCCTATTAGAGGAGTGGCGCCTATTAGAGGAGTGGCGCCTATTAGAGGAGTGGCGCCTATTAGAGGAGTGGCGCCTATTAGAGGAGTGGCGCCTAATAGGGGAGTAGCAGGATTGGCGCCTATTAGAGGAGTGGCGCCTATTAGAGGAGTGGCGCCTATTAGAGGAGTGGCGCCTATTAGAGGAGTGGCACCTATAAGAGGAGTGGCGCCTATTAGAGGAGTGGCGCCTATTAGAGGAGTGGCGCCTATTAGAGGAGTGGCGCCTATTAGAGGAGTGGCGCCTATTAGAGGAGTGGCGCCTATTAGAGGAGTGGCGCCTATTAGAGGAGTGGCGCCTATTAGAGGAGTGGCGCCTATTAGAGGAGTGGCGCCTATTAGAGGAGTGGCGCCTATTAGAGGAGTGGCGCCTACGAGAGGAGTGGCGCCCATTAGAGGAGTGGCGCCTATTAGAGGAGTGGCGCCTATTAGAGGAGTGGCGCCTATGAAAGGAGTGGCGCCTATGAGAGGAGTGGCGCCCATTAGAGGAGTGGCGCCTATAAGAGGAGTGGCGCCTACTAGAGGAGTGGCGCCTATTATAGGAGTGGCGCCTATTAGAGGAGTGGCGCCTATTAGAGGAGTGGCGCCTATTAGAGGAGTGGCACCTATGAGAGGAGTGGCGCCTATTAGAGGAGTGGCGCCAATGAGAGGAGTGGCGCCCTTTAGAGGAGTGGCGCCTATAAGAGGAGTGGCGCCTATTAGAGGAGTGGCGCCTATTAGAGGAGTGGCGCCTATTAGAGGAGTGGCGCCTATTAGAGGAGTGGCGCCTATTAGAGGAGTGGCGCCTATTAGAGGAGTGGCGCCTATTAGAGGAGTGGCGCCTATTAGAGGAGTGGCGCCTATTAGAGGAGTGGCGCCTATTAGAGGAGTGGCGCCTATTAGAGGAGTGGCGCCTATTAGAGGAGTGGCGCCTATTAGAGGAGTGGCGCCTCTAAGAGGAGTGGCGCCTATTAGAGGAGTGGCGCCTATTAGAGGAGTGGCGCACATTAGAGGAGTGGCGCCTATAGAGGAGTGGCGCCTATAAGAGGAGTGGCGCCTATGAGAGGAGTGGCGCCTATGAGAGGAGTGGCGCCTATTAGAGGAGTGGCGCCTATTAGAGGAGTGGCGCCTATTAGAGGAGTGGCGCACATTAGAGGAGTGGCGCCTATAAGAGGAGTGGCGCCTATGAGAGGAGTGGCGCCTATAAGAGGAGT